CCCACTGGCGTCTGTGTGGCGAGCAGCGAGGACGGCGTTACTCTCTCCACTTTTTTGTCCCGTGTGGCTGTGAAATCCTGATTTGTTGCCTCTTTAAAAATGGATTTGAAGGTCAGGTGGAGGCGCTGGTGGTGATGGAGTCAGAGACGGTAAACAGCAGGGACAAAACGGCGAGCAGGAGACGCTGAGCGGAAAGTAAATGACTTCATTTACAGCAGCTTTACTGATACTGTGCGCGTGTGTGTTTCATGGTCACTTCTCGTCCCCGTCTGTCTTCGGGCTGGACGACCTTCCTCCCTTTAATTGGACGAGCTCCTGTGGCCTTCGCACGGAGCCGTGTGCTGCAGATGAACCATGTGACAAAATCTGATTAAATGTTGTCCCGTCACCTGTCACTGATTAAGCTCCCCGGCAACAGTAACCAGCAGCGCCGCGTCTGGCTTTGTTCGATGTTTCACCGTCCTGATTGTCGTCTCCTCCCTCTCCTTGTTCCGTGTCTGCAGGGCGGGGTTTGAGCAGGATATCGAGGGCGACCACTCGTTTCATCCGGACAGCTGCCGCGGTGAGATAAACCTGCAGGTTACACCCACAGTGCTACACCCACAGTGCTACACCCACAGTGCTACACCCACAGTGCGCATGATAACAGCTGTATGCGTGTTTGTGTGGACCGAGGGTCCTGCTTACCTGCACGGTTCCACCAGACTGGTTCTATAGAAGGTCCCCAACTCAGACACTGCAATGATCCCTGCAAACATCCATCTAGCTATTCATCCTTTCATCCATCTACTCATCCGTCCATCCATCCATCTATTCATCTTTCTATTCATCCATCCATCCATCCATCTATTCATCCATTCATCCATCCATCTATTCATCCATTCATCTATTCATCTATTCATCCATCCATCCATTCATCTATTCATCCATTCATCCATCCATTCATTCATCCATTCATCCATCCATCCATTCATCCATTCACCTATCCATCCATCCATTCATCGATCCATCTATTCATCTATTCATCCATCCATCCATTCATCCATCCAGCTATTCATCCATCCATCCATTCATCCATTCATCTAGCTATTCATCCATCCATCCATCCATTCATTCAATTCAATTCAATTTTATTTATATAGCGCCAAATCACAACAAATGTCGCCTCAAGGCGACATTTTCATCCATCTACCCACCCATCCATTCATCCATCCATCCATCTATTCATGCATCCACCCAACCACCAATCCATTTCTCCATACATCCATCCTTTCATCCATCCTTTCTTTATCTATAATCCATCTTTCACCCACCTGTCCATACACACACACACACACACACACACACACACACACACACACACACATTATCTCTAATCCATCAGCTCAGCTTCTGTCAGCAGGTCTGATGAGAGGGGTCTGGGTTGAACTTTCAAAATAAGAGCAGCAGCACTGTAAGTAGAAATCTGCTATGAGTAGCATGGCTTTGTTCAGTTCACTGCAAAAAAAGAGTTACCATGGCAACCTGCCCAAGTAAGGTCCATGTGTGACCATTTGTCAAAGCAACGAACAGGAAGTGTGACACTCAGGTCTATGCACAAACACAGAGAGGTACAGGAAGTGAAGTGGAGAATAAATGAGATGAATCTGTTTTATTTTGAATCTGTGCAGCTGACGTGTTGGCTACGACACGGAACCAGGAGTCCACCGCCGACTCCGCCTACGGTAAGAAACCTTTCTTCTTCTGTTGTTAGTGTTGATCAGAGGGCTGTGGGTCCTCACAGTGACCGTATAAACATGACCTTTTGTGACCTACATATGCAAACGGATTAAAGGTGTGTGTAAGGACAGGCCAGTATGAGCAGATACGTCCTGTTACCTTCTGCTTCTGACGCTAATGAAGGTCCAAGCACTGACTTTAAGATTATTCAGATGGGAGTTTGAGTGAAAAAGTCTGTCAGCGAGCGTGGAACCTGGAGGACGTGACTCTGAGGAACGTCATCATCTCCACTGCTAACGAGCTCCGGCTTGACCGTTGACGTACAGTAGCTCGTCGCGCGGTTTGACATCATTACCCTCGCTAGTTCCCAGCCCCACAGATCAAACGCAGCTGCCTGCTCTGTATTCAGGCTGCAGCTCGCCTGCTACCTGCCTGTCAGGAGTCCTGCTGGGAAGCCAGCCGGCGTATTGTCATTCAGAGCGCCGGCAGACCCACGCAGTGAATCCATTAAGGCTCCGGGAGCTGCATTACTGTGATTAAAGCCGGAGAGGGGACAGGCGTGCGCGTCGCTGATAGGCGCTCTACTTGACTTCAGCCGACTTCGTCTTTCAGGAGTGCGTTGAGTGTTCTCGAGAGGCGGCGGCGCGTCAGCAGCCACAATAGCAGTGATGAAATGGAGGAAGGTGAACGGAGCGGGTCACCGTGCTGCGAAGGCGATGGTGAATCAGGAGCAGGAGGAAGTGAGGAGATGAAGG